ATTGATCTTCGGTAACCCATGCTTGTGGTAAGAGGCGACTAACGGGATCGGATGGTCAGGCTCGCTGACCTGGTTGACACATGTCATCGGTTCCCAATTGCGCAAATCGATGCTCATGCTGTTGATCCCTGGATTGTCTGGTCCATACTCGATTATTTACAGACCGCCGTCATATAGCTGGAATATTGCTGAGTGCGGCGTAAAACTAAGCTCACTCACTCTTGGTACAGGTGTGTGTCGGGGTGTGTCTGGGGGTTGGTTGGTTGGGTTGGTTGGGGGCGGGGCGTCTCATAACGTGAACTTCAATGCCAGTACGCCCTTGTATTGTCTTCATTGTATTATTCATAGTGTCAGAAGTTATTGGTTCAGTAAACACGAACTACAGACACAGTTTTGTAAAGAAATTACTTTTCTCAGCTATCGACAGTTGATTTACTCGATCTGAGAATGCTTTTGAGGTTGCGCATTTGATAACGTAATACACACAATGTATGGCTCTAGTCGAGGTTGAGACATTGCTATATTCGTTTCTGAGTGAATGGTCTTTACCTACCTGAAATGTGTTTCTTCCTCGAAATGATATACCCATGTAGCGATAAAGGGCGGAGGCGAAGGATGCTGAAACAAACATCACATGCCTGTGGTGATAGATCCAGTATTGGAAAATGTGTGTTTAAACTTTAATACAACTATACAAGACATCACCAAATTACAACACCAACACGAAAGTACAAATTTCATCAGTAGGAGTATATTTGTCAAAGGAAACTTTTCGTTCAGTGTTCTTCAGACTTTTTAATCGTGATTTTTCAAAATCTGATTTTAGTGTTCAGAGATTATATGGAAATAACATTCTTTTCTTTAATGTTGGATGCCTTATAAGTTCATGAGCCAATTTATCATCCTAGAATTAGATGTAACAACAAAACACCCGGTACCTTGATATGAGAAAAAAAGGCCATTCTATTAAAGCATCATATGGGTTACACTCACGTTTAATATTGCCGGAATATTGACCGTCTGTAGCAACTTCTGTAGCAACGTCTGTAGCAACATCTGTAGTAGCGTCTGTAGCAACTTCTGTAGTAGTGTCTGCAGCAACTTATGTAGCAACATCTGGAGTAGCGTCTGTAGCAACTTCTGTAGCAACATCTGTAGTAGCGTCTGTAGCAACTTCTGCAGCAACTGAATCTGTAGCATCTTCTGTAGAAGTGTCCTTAGCAACATCTGTAACAGTTTGGAGTCTGTGTTGCTGGGTGTGATCTTCAACCATCACTTGTTTTCACTTTCGCTGTCAAGACGAACTTTTGATTTCCTTTCACTCGTAGACGTTTCTGTAAGACAGATGCCAATTTTACTTGGCAACAAGACAATAATAATTGTAGCAAAGAAGACGGTTGGGAATGCCTCTTCACCAATTTCGTAGATCGACAACAAACAAAGGACAACGTCCAATGTCACTTACCCTGCGCTGATTTAAGGACATTGTTGTCAATCTGTTCCAATTCCCATTTTATTAATCATCTCTGTGATGACTTCTTCTCGACCACAATGAGATAATAATTATCTGAAATAAATAATAATGAATGTTACACATCTGTGATTGATATAAGGCCAAATTTGTATGGAATTAAGTTTGGGTACAGAGTCATGTAAAGATGGTGAGTATTTAACTGTCTAAGGCACCAGTACATACTTGTGTTACCCATCCCGCCATGGACACTCTGTGCTGTGTTGGCAGTTGAGACTGTTTCTGCTCTGACGCCATGGATGGTGGTTTCTGGGACTCCCGATTTCCGATCTAACTCTACAAAATAGAACAATTGATATTATGAATAGACCTTATGTTTTGTTTCTGTTTAACATTTTATTGTTAAATCATCATAACATCTCCACGACCATTCAACTATCTGTAAACTCTAGTATCCATATACGTTTTGTATTGAAGTGGAAACACATTCTACCTTTGAAACTTTAGTTGCTTAAGTTGAACAGTACTAACCGTCTTGTAAGTTTCTGGAAGACATCTTCACATCTTCAGAGCTTTGGTGTATTTCAACACCCTTACTGTAATCCATGTTGGCTCACCACCCCTCGGCAATAGTCTCAGGTCCCTCAGCCTCCTGTTACGACCTTTATGGCCTCTTTGAGCCTTGTGTGTAATAATGGCCTTAATTAGTATCCTATATCAACAATATCCCCCAGTAGCTGCTCATATGTACAGCACCTACGTGGATATGTTTTTGCTTCTTGTAGTCGTTGTATCCTTCACATGCACTGTTTAGAATCTCCCGTAGACTGTGATAGTGTCTGAATCCTTCTTGAACGCACGTTAAAACACGTTTTACAACGGATAACCCCGAAGCAGGTTATATCACGCTAGTGTGCTGTTGTGGCAAGGTAAATACACCCACAGCACAAGTTTAGAGTTCTCTTAGAAAGCTGGTCACCAGTGTAAAGAGAAGTCACTAATAACCAATCAGCAGCTACCTTTGTTTATGAATGAGGAAGCTTTAACTACCACGTGTATGTATTAAAATAGATATGCTGTAGGTGTGTAGCTGTGGTGCTGATATCATTGCAGCATCAGGGGAGGTAACTTAGCTAAAGCACACTCTTTAACCACACGTTGTGAGATAAGTTTGAATATCTACGTACATACACACGTCATTTGTATCTCGCATGCGGATATATGAGGACATCAGTCAACAGTACACAAAATATTGATAAACGTTGTAGGGATAATCCGACGAGTGAAATCAGCAACACAGGTGTAACGACATACCCTGCTGCTGTAAATATATGCATGGTGCATGTGTGTGTGCGTGCACGACTGCCTGGCACTAATTGAAGCTCTGGGCCTGCCTCAGGGGGATTCCCCCGGATCTTCACTATTGCAACACGATAGACATTAATCTGTACAGTTACAGTGAGTGAGTGAGTGAGTGAGTGAGTGAGTGAGTGAGTGAGTGAGTGAGTGAGTGAGTGAGTGAGTGAGTGAGTGAGTGAGTGAGTGGAGTGAGTGAGTGAGTGAGTGGGTGGGTGGGTGGGTGGGTGGGGTGAGTGGGTGGTTGAGTGAGTGAGTGAGTGAATAGGATGTAACACGTCTTTAAACACATGTTTCTATTTCAGTTAGCAACATTGTTAGTATGACATTCTATATTTATTATATACCCTACTAATCTGTTACTAAATTAATTATATACCCATGTAAACTTAAGATAGTCATACAGGGGTGCAATACAGATGATGTGGTTAAATTCCGTATTGCACCCCAGATTCCGTATTGAACCCCTGCCGGTTCTACATTGCTACGCTATGATTTGTTTTAGATATATGCAAGATAAGAGGGTATATAATACATATAGAACGTCATACTAGTGCATATGTATGTTTTGTGTTGAACTCGAAGATGTCCTGGGAGCAGGCCGTTTATCATTTAGTGAAAGGCGCAACGGCGGGTTGAGACTGAAATGACCAGGATCCGGAAGAATTTGGGATTTGAACGATCAGTGGATCCTGCTTAGAGTAAGTAACTGAACTCTGCAAAGATATTTATAGTGTACCGGGTATACCAGCAATTCCTTATCAGCTTAGTCTCATGCACATCTGCTTTACTTGCTCACGGGTATGAAATTCCACAAAGTGCACAGCGTATCATCTACACAACTGTAAAATACCAGTAAGAAGATTATCCACACAGGTGAAAACTAATCTTATTGAGACACGGACAGTAAACAGATTGTAAACAGAAACATTCCGGAAGACGGTCTAAGACTCAGTGGATGCTTTGATATGTCTGTGAGTGGGTTAGTGAGTGAGTATGGTTTTATGCCACTTTTATGCCACTTTCAACAATATTCCAACAACATCATGATGGGCAACACCAGAAATATGTTTCACACATTTTACCCATGTGGAGAAGCGAACAGAGTCTCCGGTGTGACTTTACCCACTACATGAGTGAGAGTATCCCAACCATTAGAACATCCCCGTTATTCACAATATAAAGTTTTCATTAAAGTGGATTCTGTGAAGTAAATTATCTCACGAGCATACAGTTGGTTCCTATAGCATCCAAAAGTGTGATTTAACTTTCCTTTTCTTTTACAAATGCTATCTACTTACATTTGCTATCTACTAAAATCGTTGGTCCTTTAATGTGATTAATAAGACCTACACATCTCAGATAATTTAACAATTTCAGCCTTTCAGACAAGATAGTTCTGAACAAGGCAAACACAACATCACTTCGGTATTTGGGGGTGTATACACCTTTTATTGGCTGTGTACAAGAAGCATGATACTAATTTAGCTATACTAAAGGTCATTCTAATCATGCAAATACCAAAGCAATGTACCTTTCTCTATTCCAGTATGATGAATTTCCTGGAATCATTGGAAAACACATCTGTCCATTCAGGTCAGAACTCAGGGTATTTATCATTAAAGAACTGAGATACAGTACTCTCGACCGATGAGGTATGATCATAACATTAAAGCAGAGCGAAAAATGTGTAGTAAGGGCTTAGATAAAAATATAAAAATACAAAATAACAAAGCATTAATATACAGCTTGGTAGGCAGTGGGGGTAAAAACTTACTATAACAATTAAATTATAATCCTTCAATTCATCTAAAACTTTCGACATGTAAAGTCAGACTTACTTTCTATAAAGTTTAACTTATAGATACTATTTGCAAGTGGTGAAAGTAACCCTCCTATGCATATCAACATTCTTTTAATAGCATGCCCGACAGAAAAGTTTCGATCCTTTGGAACCATGCAGTTGATGGTTTCATCGCACTGATCTGCAAAATGAGTTCCACATTTAGTTTTGTTTTAACTCTCACTACTATGTTTTGGATGTCATTTAGATCAATTCTGATAACTTCTGAAACAGACTCGGGATGAGCTGCATAAAAGCCTGGTTCAAGCCTAATCCCTGACTGAGGACCTAATTCAGTCAGAATAGAGTCCAAAAATGTGCAAAACTTACATTGAACGTTCAGTATTACAGTATCTCCATTGTGTACCCCTGACACGCTGGATCCTTTCATGTCCCCTCCGGACGCACCTGTCGTTACTTGTGTCAGCAGCTGTCCATCCTCAGCTGCAAAAGATCAACACACAAAGCACATTAGCAGAAAGCGTCAGATTACAACCTACAAAATGTTCAGAGTGGTCAAGCTCGGTCACTTTTTTATTGTAACATACGCTAGCGACATGGGACGCTCAACAATTATTATATTGTCTGATCCCTACACGACTGATTGCACAGAAACATGTATCTTAGATATCCATGGCATCAGTTTATCTTCGTCTCTGCCGATACAGTAAACTATGTTTATAACGAACAGGCCTATAATAAAGCGCCCATGTTACATTCGTTATAACCGTAGTTAAGTGATTATACTGAAAAATAGGAAGACCCGTGTACCTGTGGGATGGGATGCCTTCTTTATTTGCTTTTGTGAATGTTCTAGGGCCAGTGCCACTTCTCCTTCATCCTCCGGAACATCAGGTATAGGGCTTTCTTTTCCTGTCTCTGACTTTCTGAAACACCGAACTCAAATCGTTATGATCACAATCATCTTGAATGTCATTGAGTGTTGGGTTTCATTTTTGTGTGTAAAATGGTGAGCAGCTGGGTCTTCAAAGAATACGCAGACATCACAATATCCACATTTCACAATTACGTATAATCAATCAGCTTTAGTTACCTCTAGATACCTCCAACACACTACAAGAGCTATATCTGCTGTAGACAACTCCAACACTACATGAGCTATATCTGCTATAGACAACTCCAACACTACATGAGCTATATCTGCTGTAGACAACTCCAACACTACATGAGCTATATCTGCTATAGACAACTCCAACACTACATGAGCTATATCTGCTATAGACAACTCCAACACTACATGAGCTATATCTGCTATAGACAACTCCAACACTACATGAGCTATATCTGCTATAGACAACTCCAACACTACATGAGCTACATCTGCTATAGACAACTCCAACACTACATGAGCTATATCTGCTATAGACAACTCCAACACTACATGAGCCATATCTGCTATAGACAACTCCAACACTACATGAGCTATATCTGCTATAGACAACTCCAACACTACATGAGCTATATCTGCTATAGACAACTCCAACACTACATGAGCTACATCTGCTATAGACAACTCCAACACTACATGAGCTATATCTGCTATAGACAACTCCAACACTACATGAGCTATATCTGCTATAGACAACTCCAACACTACATGAGCTATATCTGCTATAGACAACTCCAACACTACATGAGCTATATCTGCTATAGACAACTCCAACACTACATGAGCTATATCTGCTATAGACAACTCCAACACTACATGAGCTATATCTGCTGTAGACAACTCCAACACTACATGAGCTACATCTGCTATAGACAACTCCAACACTACATGAGCTATATCTGCTATAGACAACTCCAACACTACATGAGCCATATCTGCTATAGACAACTCCAACACTACATGAGCTATATCTGCTATAGACAACTCCAACACTACATGAGCTATATCTGCTATAGACAACTCCAACACTACATGAGCTATATCTGCTATAGACAACTCCAACACTACATGAGCTATATCTGCTATAGACAACTCCAACACTACATGAGCTATATCTGCTATAGACAACTCCAACACTACAAGAGCTATATCTGCTATAGACAACTCCAACACTACATGAGCTATATCTGCTATAGACAGCTCCACACTACAAGAGCTATAGACAACTCCAACACTACATGAGCTATATCTGCTATAGACAACTCCAACACTACATGAGCTATATCTGCTATAGACAACTCCAACACTACATGAGCCATATCTGCTATAGACAACTCCAACACTACATGAGCTATATCTGCTATAGACAACTCCAACACTACATGAGCTATATCTGCTATAGACAACTCCAACACTACATGAGCTATATCTGCTATAGACAACTCCAACACTACATGAGCTACATCCACTCTGGACGTAAGTGGGTGAATTTAGCTTTACGCCGCTTTTAGCAATATTCCACCATTATCACGGCGGGGTGCACCAGAAATGGGCATCACATATTGTACCCATGTGGGAATCGAACCGGGTCTTTGGCGTGAGGAACGAACGCTTTAACCATCAGGCTAACCCTCTCTAGATAACTCTAACACAAGACATATAAACGTGAGCTACATTCACCTTTACCCAATCCAAGACAAAAAGGTTATTTATTCATCTGATCAATTGAAGAACAATCCACCATAAACAATACTAACGCAATAGATGTTGAGTACAAATCATGAAAAATTCCAGCACAACACATGTGGTGTATCCACCCTGAACAATGCCAACACAACACATATGATGTAACCATCCTGAACAATACGAACACAACACATGCTATGTATTCATCCTGAATACCAGCACAATACATGTACGTTGTGTATTCACCTTGACCAATTCAGAGAAAATACATGTGATGTAACCATCCTCACCAGTTCAAACACAATACAGGTGATGTACGCCAGTATTCATCCTGGCGTATCGTGCCTCATAATGAATACCTAAACTGTGGCCAGTAGGTAGCGAAACCCCAAGGCTAATTAGCTTCAGTTCTTAAAGCAATGAATGATGACGAAAATTTGTGATTAGAAACACTACATACGAATCATTCACAGATATAATGGCATGTACTACCATCGTGACGGGAGATAATATTGTTTGAATATGAGGTAGACACATGAATTCTCTTTATGTGGTTACACTAAGTATAGGCTATGCTTACCTCTCGGTTGAATACATCCAGAGAGATTTGGTTGAAAAGGAATAATGTTATATTCCATGTGAATCTTGAGAATCTTGTAGGTTACAGCTATTCTCTCTCTTCGGGTGACAACTTGGACCAATGTGTTGTCTCTGGTTACCTGGATGTCCGCTCGCTGAATAAACTCATTTGAGGATGGGAAGGCCCGCGTTCTAAAATAAATTACCTGTGACGATGGAGTGCAGTCGTGGTCCACATACGGAACAGGAAGTATGTTGTGATAACACGTGATTGACATATTACAATGTCTGTCTTCCAAGAAATTATGATTTATCATTATCTCTTTCGAGCCGGGGCGGATGGGTAGCCTAGTGGTTAAAGCGTTCGCTCGTCACGCCAAAGACCCGGGTTCGATTCCCCACATGGGTACAATGTGTGAAGCCCATTTCTGGTGTCCCCCCGCCCAGATATTGCTGGAATATTGCTAAAAGCGGCGAAAACCATACTCACTCACTCACTCACACTTTCGAGCATAGTTAGTCTTACATTCTGAATGATTTAAGGTTTCTAGGAAAATGGGTTTGCAGTCTGTGATATGACTACCGCGCGTGACAACATGCATGCTTGGCTATCGTTTCCTAAATAGCAATGACTCCATGATTGCGGAGTGTATACTGGAGTGAGCCAATGATATAACTACATGTAATATATATGTCATAACTAAACGTTGAAAGTGTCACCTCATTTCCTCGGGAAGACTGATAGAATAATGCTTATAGGGAGTGTGCTCTTGGGGAAATTATTAACTCAACCCGGATAAAGATATCAATAGGCGTTATCGGGAGTGTAGTTATAATAGATACAATAAACATGCGCGGGAAAAGCGTAGTCATTAAACTATGTATTGTACCTTACGAATGCCTGACTCAACCGAAGTATCACTCATTGCTTCCGCTATTACGAAATAGTTCGCGTTAATGACGAATATAGTTCGCGTTAATGACATCAGTTTACCATGGATAGAATGTAACTAAACAATCTTTGATTCAAGTTTCGTATTTAGACCTGTATATTAATCAAATTCAAAGCCTCACTAACACGTAACCGTGATTCCATCCCAGAAAACACTAACCAGTGGAAGGTAGTGTAGGAGTAAGTGAGTATGGTTTTATGCCGCTTTTAGCAATATTCCAGCAATATCACGGCTGACATCAGAAATGGACTTCACACATTGTATCCATATGGAGAATCGAATCCGGGCCTTTACTCGTGATGAGCGGACGCTTTAACCACTAGACTACCCCATCGCCCCCTTACTAAAAATAATTTATTGCGTACTTACGAGAGTTGTATACATGCAACGAGCTATACGCATACAATACGTTGGGTATTTAGGGATCATATTATTTAATGCAGTGTTGCGGTGACCTATCATGTCTATTTTTAAATGTACACGTTTATACTAGGGTGTCCATGCAATACCTAAGTGTAATATAATTTTGATGAAAAAAATACCGCACCAAAAACATGAACTGGACATTAAATGTAATTTGAGAATGAGGTGCGAAATAACAAGACGAGGATGTTTATTTTATAGTAGCCACAGTGAAACTAAATGTTTGAGCTCGGTAAATAAATGTACACTGAACAATACTTTTATCGGATATATTATAGTTGTTTTCTCTTTCAATCTAAATATTGCCCATCTTCAATTGTACTGCAAATATAATATTTGCGTCTTTAACCTGCGCAAGTTTTCATTTTCCTTGTATTGAAAATATCACACTGTTCTTGTGCTTTCGAGTTTAGGCAAATTGTTAATATTATTATAGGATATTTATAAAGCGCACATATCCACGCATCTGGTACATGTTCTAGGCGCTGGCATTTTGTCCAGTTATTTCACTTCTTATTCATTCAACTTCAGCCATTAAGAACACATCCCTACACCCGATGTATAAATTAGCGGTCAGGATGAACCGAAAATAGGTTTGTTGAATGGATTTGCTACCGATGAAAACATTCAACGACTTTGAATCAATCAACTGCATTTTCTGTTAGTAGATCGTGCTTAGGAACAGTCTGATGATATTTGTGGTCACGGCATCTGCTGTGCAGATGCATAGTGGTCTAAGGGAGGTAACTCTGAATTACGTGCGACTTAAGATATTGAACATGATTGTGCTCGCATATATATGAAAAAATATATATGAATTTTCAAAGGGTAGGGGGGAGGGGGGTCCGGGGTTTCGAAGCCCCTGAACCCGTCCTTGGCTCCGCCAGTACTAAACATTAACATTAACTTTACAATGTGGACCTTACTCATTTTTCAAAAGGGTGTGTGTGTGTGTGTGTGTGTGTGTGTGTGTGTGTGTGTGTGCTTTGAACCACCTGAACCACCCCCACCCCACCCTTTGGATCCGCCAATCCGCTCACTTGACGCTTTTGTTGTTTCGATTTTTATGAGTATTGAGTTTTACGTCGCATCGGCATTATCTCAGCCATATAGCGACGTAAACATTTACGTACAAAACTCAAATAAGTTGTGTGTTTTTTCAAAAACATATTTATTCATTACATCAATATTTACAAACAGAAAACGTCATAGCACCAGATTGAAAAACAAGTAATCCCTCCTTCGATTTCTGTAAAAGAGCAACAAACTTAATTTGTAACTTTAACTATAATAAAGCATATACCTTTCCATATTGCCAAAATAAGATACTGTTCAGACTTAAATCAACGCAACATGATTGTTATGAAATTTGTCAGACTATGTACAGAAATGAGAATGCTGTAATATCTAATACAATGTATATGTCAGGGTAGAGACTGCTATCGGAGTCTCTACTGGTAGAATCTCCGATCCTACTAGTAGAGATTGCAATCGTAGTCTCTACTGGTAGAGACTACGATTATATGGAATAACCTATGCAAGAAAGTGCAAGCTTATGCAAGCAAGTATAATAAGTGGGGATAATGTTTTCCTATTATTTGCCAGTTATAATTGAACTTATTTATTGTTATCTTGTTAACTTTATTTGTTAAGTCTGTTTTGGGGTAAGGTATGTTGTTTTTGTTTTTCGAGTGGAGTCCAAATTTGGCAGCTTGGTCTCATGATGTAAATACAGTGTTACAAACCATTTTTATTTTTTATTTTGATATTGTTTACAGTGAGGTGTTAAATGTTTGTTATCAAAGTCTCAGTTAAAAGTAGGAAACACTAAAAGCACTGCTTTCCAAAGAGGTGGGGAAATGACCAGGTGGGGATATGGCAGATGGGGTAATGACCTGGTGGGGAATTGCCCTACATCTATCCTCCCAAAATGCCGACATGCCAAGACACCTATAGCTTATAACAACAAACCAATTCTGTATTTCCTGGAACAGTGTTACAATAAGCCAACATGCTTGTTCACCAACTCAGTTTTCTTTAGAAATATAATATGTTTAAACAAACCAATCTTAAGCTAATTAATATAATCGTTTACTCAGTTTCAGTCAGTCTTAATCTGTTAATCTCAAACTGTTAATCCAGCTTATCTTTGCTTTGTTCACCCCTTACTCTCATGGATCAATTAGTCATAGGTGAAATCATTTTGTTGTTTTAACTAAGTGTATGGATACTAGGCTGAAGGTACGTACGACAGATGTCAGAGGTGTTACTCACACTGTTTATGGTTATATAAGGTAAATAGACTTGAGCATGAACCAGTAATCAGTTGAGGCCATAGAGATGTTATATATTTACGGTATTCATTATAATTTATATTAATTATTTGATTTATATATTATGCTTTTTAATGTTGAGTTGAATGAAACAGAAAATGACATTAGTTCCATTCTTGTTTTTCTTTGCAGCTGTCACACAGATCTTTTCATCCAGTTGGAGAGCAGACAAGTTGAAGATCCCATCAACCCACAGACAAACCAGACTACAAGTGATTCTGCAGACATCCAGACCACATCCCAGCCAAGTGATTCTGCAGACATCCAGACCACATCCCAGCCAAGTGATTCTGCAGACAACCAGACCACATCCCAGCCAAGTGATTCTGCAGACATCCAGACCACATCCCAGCCAAGTGATTCTTGCCAGGAGTACCAGCTTCTGGATGGTGTAAAAATAGTTGGAACTGGAACCAAAGTGTTTGGGAGGACCACAGTACATGGTGAAACAGTTGATTCCCAACATCAGGGAGTATTCCAGATAACAACTGTGGAGGATCCGGACTTCATTCCAGCTGGAGGTAACCCATTTGATGAACCGCTTTCTGTTGGCCAGTTCATCGTTTGGGACATCATTCAAGCAGTTCCACTGGAACCTGACACACCACACAGTAAGGTACGGAAAATTGCAACAGACAACTATCTGAAAGCAGCCAACAGGCAGCAAGTTAAATATGATGCCAAGTTGAAAAGTACTTCTTTCAATGAAGGGACACTGTTGGAATGCGCATTCACGAAGTGGATCGCAAAAACACCGACCCTCGACTTCTGCCATGCAAGGTCCTACAAGTTCAAGGTGCAGGGAAAGATGCAACATACAAGTTATATACAGCACATGGTCGTCTGAGAAACACCTTTGGTCCGGAAGAGCTGGTTGACATGCGTAATGTTTTTTTTCCATCATTGGAGCATAAGGATGTCCACAGTCTTGACGGAATCAGTCTCATCCAGGCTTCAAGAATGAACAACGGTTGGACAGCAAGTAGGACACAAGGATCAACTGTATGTTCTTGCAAGGGGAGCTGTGTAACGAACAAATGTAGGTGCAAAAAACAAGGAATGAAATGCTCAACAAAGTGCCACCCATCAACAACTAACGTGTGCCAAAATAAAGTTTAGTACTTATGATTATGCAGTGTTTGCCATGACGCAGAAAACCTGCGTATTTGACTCACAAATTATCTTAAATACGCAGTGAATTTATAAGCTCGCGTTGAGGCAATGCTCGACCCGGGCTGTTAGTTCAGATAACTTTACTTTAGTTTAAGTTTGAGTACATATTGTAATTTATTGTTGTTTAAAACTACTAAGTTTAATGTTTGCCAGTTAACTGCCCAGTGCTGATTAAATACCTGATCTGCCTTACTTGGACCTGTTGTTAGTAAACAATAACAGTTGATCTCTTGATGAAAGAAGTTGACTCCCAAAAACATGTCCATGACTCCCTCTCATGACACCAGGGAGGCATGATGATTCCTAAATGTTTATGCCTAGGGCAAACACTGATCATGCAATTGATCTTGCTTGTAATCAGTTTTGTAATATATGTATATATTGTAATGTGATCTCTCAAGTCACATTTGTATTTTTAGTCCTTAATATATCTGTAGAAGTGGAAACAGTCTAGTGTTATATCTGAATAAAATGCATAGTACTGTTCAGAAAAAGTGTCTTTGTTGTTTACCCACAGATCACTCGGATTCTCTACCAGTTGAAGACGATTGCAGCCTCTACTAGTAGGATCGGAGTTTCTACCAGTTGAATTGGGAAAATGTACTAGTAGAATCTCCGATTCCACTAGTAGAGACTACGATTACAATCTCTAGTAGTAGGATCGGAGATTCTACCAGATCGCAGTCTCTACACTGACATATACATCTTTGAACCAATGACGCCATCACAGTGCGAACTGAGCGGTGTGCAAAGTCAGCTGACGGCAGACACCATAAGGGCTGATTTGCTTCAAATTCATATTGCATCCATGTAACATGGTCTATGATTTAAATCCGAATCTCAACCAATGTTTTTTATTATCCACATATCATCGTCGGCACATCAGTTACACACCAGTCGGGTGATGCTAATTACCTAACACTTCCATCCCAGCTGTTTTACAGTCCCACGTGTACCGAATATCCAAGCTGACCTCCCATTGGGCGCTGAACCGCAACACTCGGTACGCTCGGATGATCAGCAGGAAGGGCGGAGTTTGATTGCAAATGGGGACTCAAGGCACTGGACATGATTTTATTGTTGAGGTCAGAATGAACGGTCTCTGGTTATGGTTGAGTGACGCTTTCAGTGTTCCGTGACGGGCGTTAAGCGTTATCGGAAAAAAAACTATATTCAAGCGTTTAACATATTGGTCTCCTCTCCAATATCCACCCCAGTATAAGTATAATTATGTACTTATTGCTGTGAAACATTGTTCATACATCGAGCACAGAGACGTTAAGTCGATAACTACAAACTGTGTTATAAACAGAGTAAATACAGTTACGTCCTTGAGCACTGCAATAATTTATAACTTGACAGAATTACGTCCGAACCTACACCCGAGCATTATAATATATGACTGCTGTGTCCCTTGAGCCACAGGCTGATAAACCAGTCATCCCGAGACCCTTAATGTGCCCTTTGTACTTGGCTCTGTCCCTGGGGGAAGTCACCTCGCGTGAATGGGGCTTCCCTTTTTATAATCGAAATATTCAAGTGAACCAATCGCTGGTAGTACGCATTCACTAGTTGTGGATAAAAACATCATGGCTACCTCAAGGCGGCAAGGGAAGAGAAGACTAGCTGCATCCGAAGGTGAGTTACTAACTGAATTTCGATAATGTCACCAAATGCAAACTTTCATAGACGTTTGACTCATTGTGAAAATAATGTTACTTGGACGATGTTGAACCTGGTGACCACACATATTCGCGCATCGGATCGTCAATGGTGATGGTGTTCTGTCGACGCTAAGCATTGAAAATGAACATCATTGAAAACTGGTACTCTATGAAACCTGACCCGATTCTCATGCTTTTGCCACCACCTGTTGTTTAGAATGGGTAAAGGAGTCAAGAATGCTGAATTGAGAGCGTAAGTAGAAAACAGGAGTCGTCTCCATGTTTATTAGCTTTACACTTCCAGAGCAGTATTCTACACCTACAACACCATGTAATACTACGACTATATACCAAGGGAACTGTCGTTAAATAATGTTAATTATATTTAATCTTAATATTCTTCCAATTTATATCATTCCTATCATGTGATAGATCGGGGTACTACACAAAGGAACTATGTGTTACATGTATATTGTAATCCAGGTTTGGATCAACACTGGCCTCTAATCTAATCGAGCTGGCAGTTAGAATTGTCCAACTTATCCATCAGGATTACAGAATCACTCTGTGCAGCGCTTGTGTTGTCTGTTCCGATGTGCGGAGCACTGTTTTGAGTTTGAGGTTTCAATAATTATTAGTATTTACCAAAGGGGTGAATATCAACTTGGAAATATTTCATGCATGATTTAAAAACACACAGAACGGTCCACACACAGTCCTTTGAAACAGAATAATCTCAAATAACGTGGGCAGACTTCCTGGAAGTCTGGATTTCCAGAAAGTCTCTGGGTTCCTTTTCATAATATTTTATGATTATTATTTATGGACTGTTTTTTCTGTTAAATATTTTTATTTCAGAGATTAGATGTTAGTCTAAGTAACCAGTTGTTTGGGCGGTCTCGTTACTGAATATTGTCTCATTGTTTGTTCATACTGATCGCATAAAGAGGGTCAATTATTACAAACTTATATTTTACATGAACTGAGTTTCCTCACATTGTAGCGTTCATAGATTTTCATTCAGTGAAAACGATTCATACGTTTATGGATACTCTCTAATCCTGATGTCAACTGATATTACAATGTAATGTCTAGAACTCACAGATTTCCATTCAGTGAAAACGATTATTTCATCCAGTGAAATCGAAAACGAAACGATAATTTATAGCTTTCCCCGCAGTAGAAAAGCTGCGAGCACTCTCATGGTCTCGGCTCAGTAAGTGTGGTGCGGGGTTGAACAAGTACAAAGGATTATGTTATAATCTAGAAATGGTTGCTGCTTATCCCCATATATTCAGTGTACCTCCGACATTCTATGAATGCTGAAACATCGCCTCACCTTCATAAGCAACCAACGTTGGACACAAATATGTTTCAATTATCGTAATTGTAAAATGTATACACATGAGCCTTAATCTCGCACCACCCACTTGGTTTGGTATGATTAGTACAAAAACACTACACTATCGATGTTTTTTATCGTCAACAAACCGATACGCGTGCATCGATACAAAACACATTTAGGCAATAAACCAGGATGTTTATATCGCGAGGGTCCATGATACATCGATATATCGCCACGAGAGACGATATATCCCGATACAACTGCTATACTGCTTAAAGTTTTTCTGTACAGCGACAAGTCCACTATTTCCTGGAATTTTGATGTTGATCTTCCAAATTTACAGATACTAAAGTAAACTAAATAGCATAATGCATGAAGACCAAAATGGTAGACATGATGGTCCATTACAATTTAGCTTCGAGTTGTAATTATCTAAATTATATGAAATTTCAACCTCTTTTTTAATATGTGAAATATTTGGATGTCTGTTCTCTAGTCTTGATTTGAAAATATTGTATTTTGTGATAATTATGATGCGGTTGAGCACATCAGTTCTTTTCTCGGGTATCCAAATAATACCTTTTTCTTGGGTGTGCCTGTTTTATGTTGAATCCACGCAATAACATTATTCCAAATCTCTTTGACAATATGACATTCATAGAATATATATATGCATTATGGTTGCGACACTTGTTTTACAGAAAGTACACGCACTGGTTTCAATCAATTTCATTTTTGATAGCATTTCGTTTGTTGATATACACCTGTGAATAGTACTGTATTGAAAACATTGACGGTTTACATTAACAAGCACCATGAAAGTCAGACAGAGGTACAGATAAGCTGCGTATCTGCGTAAATTACGCAAACATTTATGTGAAAACCCAATCCCTATTAAGTATATTGCGTACAAGTACGCTTAAAGTTTTGTAAATACTCAATAAATGTGATCTTACATGCGTACACACAAAACTGTCCAATCGTAGCTTGCGTACCGGTGGATAGATAAAATAACTGACGTATATAGAGAGATTCTATATTAGGACATGAACTGACAACTTGCAGTCTTTCTTATCGTTTCTCATATTACAGATCAAAGGTAAATCACAAACACTAACATTTAAACTATATTATATTTTTAAAATTAATGGAAAATGAAAAAATTACCCAAATGAGTTTGAGTGAGGTGAGTACAATTTATTTCGTAACTCAAAGGAAAATTAGGATACCCAATTGAGATGAACACAAGTGAGTACATAACTCAATGACCCAAAACGTTTAACTTTATCTGTAGCTCTGAATGAAAGGTATGTTATAGGCATGTCTCCAATCATTATCAGATGAACATTCGTTTACTTCTAATTCCCATTTATTTATGTATTTGTTGTTATTATTTTGAAATCTAGTTGCCTTTAGTATATACTGCTTAAAGTTGTGAGGAGTATTGCATTAGGAATAGGAAGGGAGTCTCTTTGAAATTCATCTGAATTTTAAAAACAAATTGAACCTTATAGGAATGTGTTTGTGTCTGCTATCTGTGTTACATGAACAAAGGAGTTAGTGTATAAGTCAAAGAATGTGAAGATTTTACAAACTCTGTGAACTTTAGAATATTTGTCTTCAAGTAATTGAAATATGTTTTAGTTGTTTGACAAATACCACCATTTATTACCAACTATGAACGACGTCTTAGCTTTGTTAAGAAAGAGAACAAAGAGAGGATAACATTTAGAATGCATACTTAAGAGTTTTTTCAGTGATTCTAAATTCTGATGTAAATTACCTTTAATTGTTTGTGAAAGCATTAATGCAGAAACACAACTTCAAATTTATATATGTTAGATCAAATACTGAAAATGTGTGACAGTACTTTCTTAAGCATTAAATGCTGAAACTTTAGATGAATAGCTATTTAAGTGTGTGTGAATGCAACCTAAGTTCTGCTGTATAACAAATACAGTTTCAGTCATTTTATGTATCAAACATGTTCTGTTATTAGAAATTGTTAAGTATCGGGATGCAGTTCCAATACTTTCATGATATATCGTCTCGCCTCATTTAACTGGTATCGGGATATATCGTCACTTAGGCCACGATACACAGCCCTACTCCAGTTCTAACCTGGCGTCCAAAATGGTAACGCTGACCACTGACTTTCACTGACCCACATCCAGATCAGTTCACATCAGGGCTACTTTGGGCCATGGCAATGGTTTTATGATATGATGAGAATCGAGCTCATAAGTTTGGCACGCGGCCTATCGCATTACAGCAACGTTAATAATAACATTTTAATAATACAAAACACGTTGAAATTTTCACCGTCATAAACCTATCGCCTTTCAAGATCATTGACGTCCATAACATCTCGTTTGACTGTCATACTTCCAGTACCGTTTATACGGTATTCTGAACTCGTTCTTTGTTACCACATAACTCATATCTCTTGAATTTTGGGAACTTTTATGGTTTAACAACTGTTTGCCAGTTTTTAATGAAAAGGAACCCCAGTGCATGAGAGTGGACATTGTGAAACCGGGAAACATCTAAACTTGCGACACTACCGCGATAGCATCTATATCACAGTGAGGGTTGATGGATTGAGTGAGTTTATTTTACGCCGCTTTTAGCAATTTTCCAGCAATATCACAGCAGGGGACACCAGAAATGAGCTTCATACATTGTAACCATGTGGGGAATCGAACCCGGGACTTCGGCGTGTCAAGATAACGCTTTAACCGCTAGGATACCACACCAGATTTGTTGGAAGGGAACACAATATTATTTCCTGGACTATGTGAGGCTATGGGATCACTGTCCTTTCTGGTCCGACACCTGACAGGTGAGATCACTTGTATTGTGTGTCTGTCGCCATGGTTACCTCTGTCGGGCGCTTGAAATAGGATTATGCCTTTGACGGGATAATGTAACCCATGCAACGGTGCATCTGGGTTATTGCTTTAAGTTTCAACTTTGACGTGAAGTCACGCGAGGCCAACTCTCGGTAGTTTCCGGAATACGAGTACGTTTTCAACTTTTTTGGTTAATAATATTGCCTTCAGATTGTTTCCTCACAGATACTTGCTTTCATATACTTTTAAAATGATTTAATCTCTATTTACCGTATATCTGCTTTAATGGTTGAAATGGATAGTCATATATTTATATACACCACACAACATCCCCACTTCATCAATAGGCATATAATCTGGATAACTGACAGATACCTATAATGTCCGTGAGATTTCTATAATACACGGATTTCTATATAATCTTCTACGTAACATTTAGGTACTCTATAATATGTCTTTGATCATACATGCTCATTATTTTGACTATATGGTATTTGTATAAGATAAAACAAGCTCATATACTAACTATACCATATTTGTCTATGATGATATAGGAGGTCAGTGCAAAGGACTCCCTAATCTTGACAATCCTCAGGAACAAATCTTGTTTTGTGTAATGGAAGCAATAGCTGTGAAAATTATAAGAATGGATCAAAGAACATCAGTGATGACACTAATTGTTTTGCTTATTATTTACAAGGAAAATTAAGGAAGAGTATAAATATGATTCACGTTGCCCCTTGCTTCGATGCGTTCTTATGTTCAAGCTTCATGACATTAATATCATGTTTTTGTCTACCCAGATGGCGCTACCCCCCCGCTCGCTGCCCCACCTCTACGAGTGGCCGCATTCAACATACAGGTGTTTGGAAGGAAGAAGATGCAGAACAAAAATGTCACCAGTATTATTTCGAAGGTGAAAACAAAACTCCTTGAATATACATTGCTGGCGTTCATGCATTTGAAGACTACACTCTTAAAACATTGTCAATATACAAAATTCGATCTTTCAAACATGTATAAACATCATCTGTTGTCAGCATTGTGATGTATGTTATGTAGATTGTATTTAATAGTACAAGGAATGTCTTCAATTAATGGCGTAAAAGAACTCGCCGAACCCTCTGGAAGAGCGTGAACGTTCTGTGGAATTTCTCTTTCTTCTTTATAATTTCCCTAAGATAAATGATTGTTCTCTTGAAAGTTGCTTCGAAGAAAAAAACAAGACCTGTGAATACAAGGGGATGAAGTCATTAGATGATAAGTGATGACGTCATTAGATCCTAATAAGTATTTGTAATTTCAGATACTCCGTTGCCATATCTTCCTTAAGTTCAAGTTCTTGATGGAAAAGTCATTCGGGTTACTTTTGAAAATGATTATGATTAAATATTTTTTAAAAACAGTATGAGAAATGTAAGGTTGAAAAAGGCTGACTGAAAGATATACTGACAAGAAAACCAGGCCTGCCCAGGAATATTTGACACTCGGCACCTAAATATTATGCGTCCCGTGTAGCTATTGTACTTGTACAGACGCCATGGAAACGACCGCATGTTACACAAAGCTGTTTAACAATGGTGGCGTGATGCTTCGTAGAGTGTCATTCATGGAGTCATTCATTTGGCTTTTCATGTAGGTCATTGTGGTAGTTAACTTGTGGTTTAGCGACCTTTAAATGGACGCACCTGTTCATTGGTCCATACTATATTCAGGGAAGCGAAATGATACATGAAGGCTGTAGAATCATCTTACAGGAAGGTATTGTGACAAGGCAGTCAGCCATTCACCTTTCTCCTTTGGCTGGCGTGTGTCGCTCTAGCGTTGAGTGTATAGTTTGTACTATTTGTGACACTGCCATACACTCTATCATGGGTAACTGAACCGTATCCCCATAGTGTATGCCATCCAGGTGTGACTGTCGTGGTGAGAGGGGTGTTTTATATATCAGGAATTGCTGTGAGACTACACCGTCCTCGGTGTGTGTACCACAGGGAATGACTTTACCACCCCCAATGACTTTACCACCCCCCGAGTGTTTGTATCACCCCAAGTTACTTTACCTCCCGTGTGTTTGTACCACCACTACTCACTTAACCTAACGCGTATTTGTACCATCCCGAGTTACTTTACCACCCCGCGTGTTTGTACCAACCCTAATGACTTTACCAGTGTTTGTACCACCCCAAGTTACTTTACCATCCCCGAGCGTTTGTACCACCCGATGTGACTTAACCTAACGCGTGTTTGTACCACCCCAAGTTACTTTATCACCCGCGTGTTTGTACCAACCCTAATGACTTTACCACCCTCGTGTTTGTACCACCCCAAGTTACTTTACCATCCCCGAGCGTTTGTACCAACCCTACAGACTTAACCTAACGCGTGTTTGTACCACCCCAAGTTACTTTATCACCCGCGTGTTTGTACCAACCCTAATGACTTTACCACCCTCGTGTTTGTACCACCCCAAGTTACTTTACCATCCCCGAGCGTTTGTACCACCCGATGTGACTTAACCTAATGCGTGTTTGTACCACCCCAAGTTACTCTACCATCGCCCGAGTGTTTGTACCACCCTAATGACTTAACCTTACGCGTGTTTGTACCACCCCAAGTTTCTTTACCATCCCCCGCGTGTTTGTACCACCCAAAGTTACTTTACCACCCCGAGTGTTTGTACCACCCCTGTTACTTTACCATCCCCCGAGTACTGACTTAACCTTTACGCGTGTTTGTACCACCCCAACTTACTTTACCATCCCCGAGTGTTTGTACCATCCCTAATGACTTTACCTCCCATGTGTTTGTACCACCCCTGTGTTGACTTTACCACCCGCGTGTTTGTACCACCCCCGAGCGTAATCACTTTACCACCCGAGTGTTTGTACCACCCCAAGTGTACTTTACCACCAACCCGAGTGTTTGTACCACCCCAAGTTACTTTACCATCCCCGCGTGTTTTGTACCACCACCCAAGTTTGTACTTTTTACCACCCCGAGTGTTTGTACCACCCTACTGACTTTACCACCCCTAGTTACGCGTGTTTGTACCACCCAAGTGACTTTTTACCATCCCCCGAGTGTTTGTACCACCCCTAATGACTTTACCTCCCATGTGTTTGTACCACCCCTAATCACTTTACCACCCGAGTGTTTGTACCACCCAAAGTTACTTTACCATCCCGATTTTTGTACCACCCCTAATGACTTTACTTCCCGTGTGTTTGTACCACCCCTAATGACCTTACCACCCGCGTGTTTGTACGACCCCAAGTTTTTTTACCTCCCGAAGGTTTGTACCACCCCTAATGACTTTACCACCCGCGTGTTCGTACCACCTTAAGTTACTTTACCACCCCGAGTGTTTGTACCACCCCTACTGACTTAACCTAACGCGTGTTTGTACACCCCCAACTTACTTTACAATCCCCCGAGTGTTTGTACCACCCCTAATGACTTTACCTCCCGTGTGTTTGTACCACCCCTAATCACTTTACCACCCGCGTGTTTGTACCATCCCTAAAGACTTTACCACCCGCGTGTTTCTACTACCCCAAGTTTATTTACCATCCCGCGAGTGTTTGTACCAACCCTAATGATTTTACCAACCGTGTGTTTGTACCACCCCTAATGACTTTACCACCCGCGTGTTTGTACCACCCCAAGTTACTTTACCATCCCGCGAGTGTTTGTACCACCCCTAATGATTTTACCGACCGCGTCTTTGTACCACCCCTAATTACTTTACCACACCCGAGCGTTTGTACAACCCCAAGTTACTTTACCATCCCCGAGTGTTTGTACCATCCCTAAAGACTTTACCACGCGCGTGTTTGTACCACCCCAAATTACTTTTCCATCCTCCGAGTGTTTGCACCACCCCTAATGACTTTACCTCCCGTGTGTTTGTACAACCCCTAATGACTTTACCGACCGCGTGTTTGTACCACCCCAAGTTACTTTATTTTAACCATCCCGCGAGTGTTTGCACCACACCTACTGACTTAACCTAACGCGTGTTTGTACCACCCCAAGTTACCTTACTTTACCATCCCGAGTGTTTGTACCACCCATAATGACTTTACCTCCCGTGTGTTTGTACCATCCCGAGTGTTTGTACCATCCCGAATGACTTTACCATCCCGAGTGTTTGTACCATCCCGAATGACTTTACTATCCCGAGTGTTTGTACCATCCCGAATGACTTTACCATCCAAGTTGCTTTACCATCGACAGTGTTTGTACCACCCGGCCGTGACTTTAGCACCCCGAATGTTTGTACCGCTGAGAGACCCTGACCCCATGTATCTCCTTAAGTGGAAACACGACCACAAACGAATGCGTATCATCCTGGGGCCCCTTTCACGAAGCAACCTTTACTAAGGGTAGCCTTAACTCCCATTCTTTAACATTGCACTAAGGTTACCTTAGTAACTTACGATCACCTTAGTGCTTTGTGAAAGGACGCCCTGATGATGTGCAAACAGCCAGCAACATTTATGATACATACGTCAGTGAGTCCATGATATATTGGTCCTCGATTGAAGAAGAGTGAGTGAGGGTGTTCTCATGCTGCAGGTGGTACAGAGATACGACGTGCTGTTGCTCCAGGAGATCCGAGACAAGGGCATGACGGCTCTTGACAACCTCATCAACATGCTCAACAAGTAGGTCTTTACGTGTCCCGCAATATGCACGAACAATCAGCTGTTCACAATAGCGAGTGGGTGAGTATGGTTTTGTGCCACGTTTAGCAATATTCCAGCAACATCACGGCAGGGGACACCAGAAATGGGCTTCACTCATTGTACTCATGTGGAGAATCGAACCAGGGTGATCAGGGTGACGAGCGGACGCTTGAACCATTGAGCCACCTAACCACCCCTGTCCAAAATAACAAATAACAGGACAGAAGAGTTATATGTTATTCCTTGTTATAAGGCAAGGGCGTAGGAACCGTTTTCCCGGGGGGTGTGGAGAGAAGAGAGGAAAGAAGTGAAAGAGAGTAGGAGAAGAGAGGGGGGGGCTTCTAATTTAAGGGGAGGAGAGGGGGTTAATGGTTAAAGCATTTGCCCTTTCGACTTACGTGGTTTCAATATATCAAACCCATTTCTGATGTCTCCACTGTGAAATTACTGGGATATTGCTAAAAGCGGCGTAATAACATACTCACTCACTCCTTGTCATTAGCTCACAGTTGCCTGATCAACCTCATTCCTTCTGTAACATTTGAACCGATGTAACGTGTCATTGAGCACGCTGCAAATGTTGTATCACTTACTTGATAACGGTGTTAGTACCTACACCGAAACGTCACTTACTTGATAACGGTGTTAGTACCTACACCGAAACGTCGCACTCATTGCAATAATGAGGTCCATTGTTATAAATAGCTTTTACTGAAACTGAATATGGCGTTGCAGAATCGACCCTGATGATCCTTTCGTGGCCGATGTGAGCGAGAGATTGGGAAGAACTTTCTCCAAGGAACAGTATGCCTTCTTGTACAGGTCAGTCAACTCTCATCTGTTTATTAAACAAGGGCACACGCCACGATGCCAAATGCCACAAGTTGGAAGAATGAAATGACACAGTGAAGTTTTGCCAAGATATCATGGAGTCGCTTTGAAATTCAATAAATCGCCCGTTTGAATCTCCATCGCCATTTGTTCATCGAATAAGTAATTACAGGAGTGAACGTATTTAGTGAACATGTCTCTGGGTCATGAACTGGCGCATGGTTACATTTCAAATGTATGTTTTCTCTAAACTCTAAACTTTATTGTTTGGGATGCCCGAAATTTACGTTGTAGTACAGTCTGAAACAAAAGAAACACTTTCGGTAATACTGGAAAACCCCATAAATATTGCACCTAAAGTAGCTTTTCTTTTTAGACCGAGCCGAGTGAAGATTGTAGACAATTACCAGTACGAGGACGGCGTTGACGACGGCACCGACACTTTCGAAAGAGAACCCTACGCCGTCAGGTTCTCTTGTCCGAACTTGGGTACATAGCGAATAGATTTGGTCATGGTGATATATATACTATATCAGTTGATGCCTTCCTCTTCATCATTATTATATGAAATAATTTCTTTATGTTATCATATGGCAGTGTGGGGTGTATATCTAGAAACAACATATCACAAGTTTTCAATTTCAATGACATCAGTGTTGTAAGGTCTTAGATTTGTATATTTGTTTTTTAATATTATTTACGAGCCATGTACATCAAATGTGATGTATCGAATGTCATGACATCAAACCAGATGAAACGTTATTAAAAACACACAAATTCTCATAATTTTTTCACATAACACTTTGTCTTATCAAAACTTTCAAATATATGTTGTAGAAATTGACGACTTTGCGATTATCGCAATTCACACATCGCCCAGTAAAGCTGTAGCGGAGATTAACGCCTTATTGCACGTGTGGGAAGCGACAAAGAAACACTGGGGCATCGAGGTAAGTATAGCTAGGCATTAGGCCTGACACTCTAGTCTGGTAAAATGGGTGAGTGAGTTTAGTTTTACGCCGCACCCAGAAATTTTCCAGCTGCATGTCTGTAAATAATCGAGTCTGGTCCAGGCAATCCGGTGATCAACAACAAGCGCATCGATCTACGCAGTTGGGATCCGGTAACATGTGTCAAACAACTAAGCACCACTTAGTTGCCTCTTACGACAAGCATTGGTTACTGACGACCAATTCTAACCGGGATCTTCACGGGTCAGTATTGTAAAAAGACTTTAGTTGCCCTTTGTTGAAGACAGCAAATGATTGCTTGTGATTCCTGTAATCACTGAAATAAGAATCCCCGGATCCAGAAAACAGTCAGAAGCAAACAGGGCGAGCATTCTCATCCGAGATAGTTAGCTATTAGTTAAACTTAACCCACAATAATAAACAGTATTTGTTCCACGTCACAATAATGGTCAAAGGGAGATAACCCACTGTTGTATATTTACTCGTGTAACATTCCACCTTTACACTTTTCTACATGTCCAGGGCTCGTATTTCGGTAAACCAGGCGCGTGGTTCTTACATTCGAAACTTTCCGCCATTAATTTTCTTGAACATTTTACAAACCAATGGAAAGTCCAAATAAAGGTAAGGGCGGTAGCTCGTATTACCTAGCAATACAAGCTGCCGCTAGTTTGATGATATTTTTTCCGTCAAAATGATTTCTGAGGGGTGTCTTTTGCGTGTCAGTCTCTTTTCCAATATTGAATTTCTCACAAATTCAGTCATATTCAGTGGGACTGGCCATGTTGTTGATATTGTCAACATAACATTGAGACATGTTTTTAACTCCCATTCTGAATGGTACGTTAAGCATCAAGTAGTGTAGCCAATCAAGTGGAATTCAAGGGCGGGTAATTCGGGATAACCAGAACCATCGGATCTAATCTAAGGGACAGTGTAGGTTCACCGATATGCTAGCCCTGGATATATTATATTCGACGTCGTAACTATGGTAACACAGATTGACTGTTTTCGTGATGGTACGCGTGAGCTGAATCAGCAGGTTTGCCGGTCAAACCGAGAAGTTAGTGCTACTCTCACTTGATGCCGTGCCGGAAGCACTTAGGATTGCAATATTCTAGAGTCCTGTTGGGATCACGTGTGAGAATATATAAGTATCTAGTTAAATGGTGATCTTAAGTTGCGAACAAATGTGTCCCGCTGTCGTTGTACAAAACAACCTTAGCGTTACGACTGTCGTAAGTCTATGTTAAAGTATGGGAGTTACGATAACCTTAAGTCTGTGTTAAAGTATGGGAGTTACGATCACCTTAGCGTTACGACTGTCGTAAGTCTATGTTAAAGTATGGGAGTTACGATAACCTTAAGTCTGTGTTAAAGTATGGGAGTTACGATCACCTTAGCGCTACGACTGTCGTAAGTCTATGTTAAAGTATGGGAGTTACGATCACCTTAGCGTTACGACTGTCGTAAGTCTATGTTAAAGTATGGGAGTTACGGTAACCTTAGCGCTACGACTGTCGTAAGTCTATGTTAAAGTATGGGAGTTACGGTCACCTTAGCGCTACGACTGTCGTAAGTCTATGTTAAAGTATGGGAGTTACGATCACCTTAGCGCTACGACTGTCGTAAGTCTATGTTAAAGTATGGGAGTTACGATCACCTTAGCGCTACGACTGTCGTTAGTCTATGTTAAAGTATGGGAGTTACGATCACCTTAGCGTTACGACTGTCGTAAGTCTGTGTTAAAGTATGGGAGTTACGGTCACCTTAGCGTTACGACTGTCGTAAGTCTGTGTTAAAGTATGGGGGTTACGGTCACCTTAGCGTTACGACTGTCGTAAGTCTGTGTTAAAGTATGGGGGTTACGGTCACCTTAGCGTTACGACTGTCGTAAGTCTGTATTAAGGTATGGGGTTACGATCACCTTAGCGCTAAGAACGCTTTGAACAACGGCACTAGGTGGTCAGGCAAGGTGACTTGTTGATTGTTTGTCATCAACCTTGATCATAGTAATCCCTGGATTAGTCCAGACTCGATTATCGACACGCATTAGTCATCTAGTTGGAATGTTGTAATATTGGTTAATAATGCAATGCCTCTGTCCATCTTACGCCTTGTATTTACCATCTGAATGTCTGTACACAAACAGTGTGAACAATTGACACATGACGATTTATTAATGCAGTTTAAACATCACTGACGTATGTAAATTAGCTAGAAAGATTATTTCTTCCCCGACAGAACGTCATCATCGCAGGCGACTTCAACGCCGACGGGGACTTCGTGTCCGGCTCAGACTGGGAGAGGATATCTCTAAGGAGTGACCGTCGTTTTACCTGGCTCATCAAGGATAACGCAGACACCACCGTCAGCAGCACTGACTGCAGTTACGACAGGTTCGGTTCTTGACATATCGGAATCAGCAGGAGCGTGATGCCATAGGTTTTCTAATGTAAAAACTGCCGACTAGAAGAAAGTATACATTTGAAAATCGGATTTGACGCAAAAATGTCATACGTTATAAAAATGTTTATAATTAGAAAACAGCCACCGATAGAGAGGCTTAAAGTCCCCAAAAAAACTGTGATACCCGTTTGAAATACGTTCAGGCTATGTGTGTACAAAATGTAAGAAATTAGTAACTATACTCTGCCACATTACTAATTGAGGATCCATAACTTTAAGATATATTTATGAAATCATATTCATGTTTGTGACAAAATATTTTTATAAACAATTCTTTATGTCTCCTTTCAAAATGGGGTACACGTTATCATTCTTTATGTGTATCATGTGTATTAAGTGAGGGGTTTGTTACCCCTTGATCATCATCAAGGATACGGACTCGTTGATGTAATTAAACTGTCATCATCAAATATAACATAGGCATATGCCATAGCCCCGTATTACCATCAAGTGTAGTAAATGTCAAAGTTGTCACTGGTACTTCAGGTTCGTGGTAACTGGGCCCCAGCTGAAGACCAACATAGTTCCCGGGAGCTGCAAGGTGTTCCAGTTTGACAAGGAGTTCAATCTCTCCCAGGAAGAGGTGAGTCTCTGGTGTTCCAGTTTGACAAGGAGTTCAATCACTCCCAGGAAGAGGTGAGCCTCTTGTGTTCTATTTTGACAAGGAGTTCAATCACTCCCAGGAAGAGGTGAGTCTCTGGTGTTCCAGTTTGACAAGGAGTTGAATCACTCCCAAGAAGAGGTGAGCCTCTTGTGTTCTATTTTGACAAGGAGTTCAATCTCTCCCAGGAAGAGGTGAGCCTCTTGTGTTCTGCTTTGACAAGGAGTTCAATCACTCCCAAGAAGAGGTGAGTTCCTGGTGTTCCGCTTTGACAAGGAGTTCAATCTCTCTCAAAAAGAGGGAGTCTCTGGTGTTTCAGTTTGACAGGAAGTTCAATCTCTCTCAAAAAGAGGCAAGTCTCTGGTGTTCCGCTTTGACTCGGAGTTCAGTTTCTCCCAGGGAGAGGTGAATGTGTGTTACCCTTTGACAATGGGTTCAGTCTTTCTCTCCAAGAGGTGAGTCTACGATGTTCCGCTTTGACAGTAAGTTCAGTCTCTCCACGAAGGAGGTGCGTCTTGCCCTGCGTCTTGCAGCTTATGTAGTGTCAAAATACTAGCTTGTTTCCTTTGATGACTGTTAACATGTTTATAAAATGCCCGCGCCGTTAGTTACCGTCTGATTGTAAAACTTTGTGTATTTTTTTCATTGTAACAGGCCGAAGATGTCAGCGACCACTACCCCATTGAACTTTCCATAGCAGGGAAGAGTGAGTCCCATTTTATTTCATATAATATTTGCTCTTTAGGCGTATTGGGAACAATCAGGTAGTTCAGTAGTGGCACTCCCATGTCAAATACCAGGTTCAGTTCCCAAGGTAGTACGCGGCCGTAAAAATCTTGGTATTGCTTCAGGTGACCTAATTACATTGATTTTATACCCCTGGAATAATGCCGACCAGAACGTAGATTGTGTATAATTCAACACGATTGTGCCGAAGTTTTTGTTTGTTTTGAGCCGCACTCAGCAATATTCCAGCTATATGGCGGTTGGTCAGTAAATATTCGAATCTGGCCCGGACAATCCAGTATTGAACATTATGAGTATCGATCTGGGACACCATGACATCTTACCTCACATATAAATGTAGACTGGCTGATCGCTCTTCTATTATTTTCAATGTACGTCGCTCTTACAAATCGACGGAAGGGAGTAACATTTATTTCCCTTATTTCTTTACACCTTATTATGTTACCCGCTGGAAATGCCGAACTGTTGAAAATTGTTGACTAATTCATTTTGTACTTCGTGTTATGTACCCTCTATAATTTCTGGCGGGATCAATTCTAACCCGGATATTCTCGGGTCTTCGTGTGACTTTTGTAAATCTGAATTTGAACAGTACGTCCAACATTTTTTCAAACAGAAAATGCGAAACTGCAAAAGATGTTAAATACGGAGCTGTCCTTCAACGTCGCGCAGACGCAGAACATCTCAAGTGTTGGTCATGTCCGTGCTTTGTACAGGACCAAGAAAGCAAAGAGTGCTGGTTTCAAGATTGAAGTAAAACGAGATGGCGACAGGAAGAATTTGCTTGAAGTGATTGCCGAAAAGAAGAATGAAAAGGACGTGGTGAACAGTTTGCAGGAGTTCCAGAAATTATTTCCTGAGGTACTGTTTACTGAGTCAATTGGAATGGCCAAGGCATACATCGACTCAGGGATTTTTGAGAAGCCGCCATATGTGTACGGTCTCTGCACACTCGAGTCCAGGAAGTCCTATGACGTCACAATCACTTGCCGTTTAAAGTCTCCATTGACATGTCACGTTAAAGTCACAAATCGCAGAAGCTGATCTGGAGGGTAAGTAGGGAGATTACTTCTTCACTAATTTAGATTATATGTCTATATGTTTTGCATGTCAATCCATGTTCTCATTATTCATTGCTTAGTTCCCCGGGTAGCTAACCGAGTCTCCAGTTTTCCATCCAGCACGAGATGGCTACGTACGTCTGCTCCGAAAGGCCTACACTTTTGGGAACTTGCAATATCCCCTAATCATGTACAACAAGGCAACATTTCTTCATGCTAAGATTTGTTCACACTACACCCTGTTTGATAGGAACTGAACTTGTCGCACGAAAGAAAGCATAACCCACGTATGAAGATGTCTTAACGCTGTCGCGTAGCAAGCCAATCTTTTCGTGTAAACCCGATAGGTTGCAAAGCTTTATATTTAAGATAGTATTGGGGGTTTCCCTAACACAATCATGTGTAAGCCAGGGCTTTTTTTATAATGGTAGCTGCGCCCCCGAAAAGGACAATTTAGAAATGTTATTTCGATGCTGATTTCAAATAGGTACAATAGTTGTGTTTTGGCTTGACGTTTGTCGTGTTTCGGTGGCAAAATAGGCAAAACAATGACGATAACTATATGAATGAATATCAACAAAAGGTGTCCCACGTTGGTATCACTACTATAACTTCAACGGCGACTCAGAGACCATGCTGCTTTTTGTGTGTGACTAATCTCCACAGTATTTCTTTCAGGGCATCCAGGGTCACGTGACAGCACAACCTGGTGACCGGTCTATTTGGTAGTTTACTCCTTCCAGACTCACACAGTTTGACCGAGTCCTCAGGGAACTACTGGGTATTAAACCGGTGTTATAACGGGAGGACAGGATGACGTATCACTGATATAACACAGTTGTTTATGGGTAACCTCATATATCGTTACCCAATTTATGTATAATCACCTAGCTAAGGCAATGTACTCCAGTGTTTGTGTCGACATGCATACCGCTAGAAAATAAACACGTTATAATTATCCATGTCATTTGAGAAGTGAAGTCTTTGTATTGCCAGTGCAGCGGGAGTGTGTAACATACACAAACCTGATTCCTACATGTTTGTCACTGTAAATGAGAATCAAAATGGCCTTATCTTGTCACAGTTTTACTCAGTTTCTAATTCACCGATGTCGCGGGGATTCGGCGTCAGAACTGATCCCCTAAACCGATATATGTACCCTCGTATGATCGGGTATAGACCGCAGTCAGCAATATTCCGGCTGGATGACAGCGGTCGGTAAATAATCGAGTGTGGGTCAGAGAATCCCCTCACCAACGTCATGAGCATCGTTCTACACAACTGGGATACGATGACGGATCAGGTGGTTAGGCTCGGTACCACATGACTTGCTTGAGTGCGTGTCCTCGAACTTCAATGCCAACAATTAATGGGCAATGTCAGTCTGGGAATTGGAGTTACCTCCCTTAACATGTTGCAGCGAGCTTTCCCGTGACAGTGACTTTCGAATAATTTAGAGTGCCCAGGTATCCGTCAGAGTTGCATATTGGGTCCTCAGATATTTGTTCTCTTCATCGATCAGCTTGAATCAGAATAGAAAATAATGGAGGTAGGGACATATGTATGTCTACTGACATTCCTAAAGTTGTATGCCCCCGTTGCCCCGTGAAGATCCGGGTTAGAATGGATCTTCAGTAATCCATGCTAGTCGTGAGAGGCGACTAACGGAATCGGGTGGTCAGACTCGCTGACTTGGTGTAATCCAAAATGAAACATAGTTTACAATTCACAACTTTCCAGTAATAGGTTTCCGTCGTCTGAGCCATGCAAAATTAATTTAAACTTTTCAGGTCTGTTCACAACGTGCGTAGTCTTGACTACCAGTTGTCAGACCTCCAATTGTGAGTGGGTGAGACCAATGACTTTATGTGCTGGCGATTAGGTGCCTAATTCGGATGGGAATTAACCCCAAAATGTTAGAATCTGAAATCTAACTAGTAATTGTTCTCTCAAATGTATGTATGTATGTATGTATGTATGTATGTATGTATGTATGTATGTATGTATGTATGTGTGTGTGTGTGTGTGTGTGTGTGTGTGTGTGTATGTATGTATGTGTGTGCGTGCGTGCGTGCGTGCGTGCGTGCGTGCGTGCGTGCGTGCGTGCGTGCGTGCATGCATGTATGTATGGTATGTATGTATGTATGTATGTATGTATGTATGTATGTATGCATGTATGTATGTATGTATGTATGTATGTATGTATGTATGTATGTATGTATGTATGTATGTATGTATGTATGTATGTATGTAAGTATGTATGTATGTATGTATGTATGTATGTATGTATGTATGTATGTATGTCTGTACACTAAACGACGTAAAAACGTTACCGTCCTTCCTGAATGACGGAGGTACCTATCTCTAGCTGGCGGTGTGATGTGTGGACGTCCACTTCTTGGTCTGTCTAGGGTGATCCCAGTCTGTCTGAAGCCCTGAATACATCTTTTAACCGTGATACGTAGGCATCCGAGGGCGTTGGCAACAGCATTGTATGTCGACCCCATCTGCACCATCCCAATGGCTCTTTCTCTCTTTTCAGTTGTTAATCGTTGCATATTCCTCGTACTTGTGTATCATATCATGTATTCTAGGCTCTTCATAACCTAATAGAATCATTCTACATGTGAAATGGATGCAAATACTGCTTGAATATTGCTGCGTTTGGGCGATTGATATTGTTATGTGTAAATAGAAAATGGAAAAATGTTACTTTGCAAGCAAAAATGTTAACAAAGATAATTTTAGATGTTCCTAAACATTTTTTCACAATATCAAAGACATGTTTTACTTGTTTTCACTAATGAAAATCAGCAGCAAATGTTTTAAAAGATTGAAATCATAGGAATGATAACTTTACAATATAGACACTCTACAACTGTTGTGTCATGTTTTAATAGTTGAAAAATGGTGACTTTAAATGGTTTATCATTGCCCCAAAGCAGAATTTTATTTCAACCTTTCTTTTGGACATCTAAATCACACTTACTGGTTTATTTCGGCATGGACGAAAATAGGACAATTTAACTTTTCTGAAAAAGATGCATTTCACCTAAATATGAATGCATATGAGAATTTATGTGATTTGCATAAAGCTGGGTTTTAAGCTTTCTTGTAAACTAATACCTTCTACCATATCTGTGATAGTTTTTAAGTAATTCATAAAGGTAGGAGGGTAAATTTGGGGGGGGCGTTTAGTGTATGTATGTATGTATGTATGTATGTATGTATGTATGTATGTATGTATGTATGTATGTTTGTATGTATGTATGTATGTATGTATGTATGTATGTATGTATGTATGTATGTATGTATGTATGTATGTATGTATGTGTGTATGTACATGTGTGTGTGTGTGGATGCGTGTGTGTGTGTGAGTGCGTTCGTATGCGTTTGTATGTGCGTTACTATACATGTCTGTTTGTGTGTGCGTGTATCTGTGTGCTTGCATGTGTATGCGCTTATAATGACGTTTCTTTAACACATTGAAGCACAATGTGCGTCGGACTCGTCCCATTAACACAACTCTGCGGCTTTCGCGCACTTGCCTTGAACAACACAGCGGACATACATTTCATTCAGACCTATCTTCCAATCTGAATGGCCATTGTCAGTGAAGTCATATATCGTTTGTACTAAATATAATGGTCGTTCTCATACCATCTGAATGCAGCTATTATAATCCTGTTATAATAGAAACCGTTAGGTCGTATTTGCAAGTGAAATAACATACATAAAGTTCACATTGACGATTTAACCATTCATGTTATTATAACATGAAGTCGTGGGAAACTTAACGATAGACCCAGCCGTATGTAGATCCAGCCACGTACACGTTTCATCAGTGCAATACAGTGAGGGAGGGAGTGAATAATGTTTTACGTCGATCGACCTGCAAAGAGTGAGTGAGTATGGTTTTTACGCCGCTTTTAGCAATATTCCAGCAACATCGCAGCGCGGAACACCAGAAATGGGTTTCACATATTGTACCCATGTGGGGAATCGAACCCAGGCCTTCGGCGTGACGAGCGAACGCTTTAACCACTTGGCTACCCCCACCGTCACCGACCTGCAAAGAACCTAGACTCGGCCGTTTAAACCAGTGGTTGACAGTATGAGTAAGTATAAGACGTTGTAAAAATTAAACGTCAACGAAAGAGAATAATCAGTCTATAATCTGTACTCCTGTACTCCATAAACACAACTGTACTCCTTCCACATGAGTAAGAGGCGACTAACGGGATCGGGTGGTCAGACTCGCTGACTTGGTTAACATATGTCACCGTATCCCAGTAGCGTTGATCGATGCTCGTGCTGTTGATCACTGGATTATCTGGTAGAAATTTGATTTATTTACTAAACTCACTCACTCACCTGCCACATGACCGAAAACGCCACACTTGACGTTGTAAAGAACGGAACAAATGCGAAGCACATGTTTACAAACCTTCACAAAATAATCTTTGCTGGTGATGAGTTTTCGGGCAGTGTTTCTCCTATCGTTTGATTTGTTGTGTTTGGTTGTTGTTTAACAGCTATATGGCGGCGATCTGTAAATAATGTAGTCTGGACCAGACAATCCAGTGATCAATGAGCATCGATCTACGCAATTGGGAACCGATGACATGTGTCAACTAACTCAGCGAGCCAGACCACTCGATCCCGTTAGTCGCCTCTTACGACAAGCAAGGGTTACACAAGACCAATTGTAACCCGGATCTTCACGGGTCTTCCACCTGTCGGATGCATAGGTGAAAATATGATCTCCGAACAACAGCTGTGATATTTTTCATGACGATTTTATTGTCACGTGAAAATCCAGTATGGGTCTATACATGTGAAAATACAGTATGGGTCTATACATGTGAAAATACAGTATGGGTCTATACATGTGAAAATATATACATCAACTGTACTGGAGACATTGTACACTTAACCTCGTCCAAATCTGCAGTGTGATCAAAAACAATTCGGTTCACACAGAGTAGGCTTCAGTGTGACAAAGCTCACAGTCCTTGTTAAGGACGCCATTGGCTGAAGAAATTCATAAGAAAATCAGAGAAATGTATTTACACGCAATACGTAAAAGATCGTCTATTTTGTAACACTGTGCTACGTGTCTCAATAACAATATAAAAAGCACAATATACAAACATCTGATGCAGCTACAGCATCTAATCAAAAATATTATCTTCCCACCACTACTAATATACACCCAATGATCTAATATCACGATGCTTTACTGAAAATACTATACGCAACTAGGTCATTTAAACACCAAACTTTTCAGATTACACATATCAATAAAAACACTAAAACGTCTTAGGTATATTCTCGTCTAGTATCTAAAGCCACGTATTATGATATCTCTTTCACTTTTCATCTATAAAGCAATCGTTTATGTTTGAAGTTTTTTGTTCAGGAGTCATTTTTGTTGGAATAGTTTCTGAAAACAGTCTAAATCTAGTGGTATCCCAGTAATCTTTATCAGTGGCAGCACATGTAGAAGAAACTATATGCCTCATCATTACAAGTTCTTTTTCTTTGCTTTGCCCATGGTACTACCACAATCGTACAGTAGTTATACAAATATGATCGAACAAATCAAACATGGTCAAAGAATAATGGAACAAATATCTTATATACAGATATGATGATTAATACACCGAATATGTTCTCATGCCCAAGCATTTGGGGCAGTGGCTGGCTCCGTTTTACCCTCGTTTGTGATGGATGGTACAGCGACAACCTTCGATGTTTCTGCTTGTCGCTGATGTACTGCTTGTTTCTTCAGTGTCGCCTGTACATCCGCGATTCTGGTCAATGCATTCTCAACGCTCTCAGCAAGCTGTGAAAACCTTTGATTCAGTTTTTGTACATCATCCACAACCAGTTTTCTAGTTTTTTGTACAGATTTCTTTGCTGAAGATATTCTGCTATTCATTGTATTTTCCAGCTCC